CATTTATGAAAAAATATCGTTTTTTTATTTTTATTATTTATTTTCCAAATTTTACTAAGGGTTTTACTATTTAAAGCATTGTAAGTCCTTTGAAGTGGATTATTGAATTGAATAAGAATTTTCGTGAGTTTTATCTCATCTTTGTGAGGTTGTTCATCTTTCCTATAATCTTCCGCTACGTCAGACAGGAAACGAAGGAGGTAAATGAACACTGAGACAATAATAAAGGACGCAATTGTGACTATTGATATACACAAAAGACGTAGTCCGATCCATAACCCTCGCATATCTACCTCGACCTATTGGCCCTCAGCAACCATATCCCCAAATTTCTCACATGCATTGTCAGGAATGGTCCTACTGGTCGGGCCTGTTGCGACTGGCTTTGGTTGGTTGGGCCAATATCACTCCTCATGTCCACATCTGGTGCATTTTTGAAGCTTTAGTCCTTCCATGACTAAAACTCTCTACATTTTTCTTTATTCAAATATCCAACATCTTGTAATCCAAATCAAACTCCAAGAGATAATTTCAGTATAACTCAATCACTTTATGTGATAAGGATAAGAATTCCAGATGGTTTAATCATTTTTGTATTCAACCACTAACCATTATTCAGGTACGTTTGCATATTTGCAGTTCACACCCTTGCGCATAAATTTTCTTTTTGACTTGAGTATTGGAGGGGCGACGAGTACACACATCGACGCCTTTGTTCCAGGTATACAGAAGATTCAAAGCAAATAGCAGAGGTATACTACTTCATCTTCAACGCGAATAATTTTAGAAAGGATTCAGATATATTTTTGATAAGTAGAAAGGATTCAGATATATAGTCACTTTTGAGCAAACAACCTTGGATAAAAGAATCTGAATTGATGCTCCCCAACATTTTCCAAAAAATCAGAAACTTCAAAGTATACAACTTCAGACAACATCCTCAATAAGTACCTCGAGCAATTCATAATAGTTCTACTTTTAAATTCTCATTCTAATATAAATATTTATATTTAGATTTGGGAACTATTGTGGTATTGTAAAAATAACCACATCAACAAAAAAATTGTTTTTATAAAAGAAATAAATTCATTACATTAATAATCATGCATACACTTGGAGACTATTGTGATGCCTCGCCATCGAGGCTCCTAGTGGAGACCACGTCTAGTCCACGCGGAGACATGAGTAAAATTTGACAAAGTCAACAAAGACCCAATTAGTCAAAATAAAGAAGTCAAAGAAGAAGCTGATGCGATTTGTTCTGAAGTTTCTTTTGGCTGAAACCCTCGCTCCAACCGAAGCTCTCTTTAGCTGAAGTCATTGCTATCTTTTAGAAGATCTACCTGCAATATTTATTATAGTCCCCATATTGCATAAAATTATTTATTCAATATAAGATTTTTCTTAGTATTTTGATTATGGATGAAGTGAAATATTGAACACCTTTGTCCTGGTTTTGGGGGTCTTTGGCTATGAAAAGAAAATAGTTTCGATGTTACACTCCCAAAAAAATTAGCACACTGTACATAAGCCCCTCTCTCCCTGATTCACACTCTGACTTGCGACGCGAGCGATCATTCCGTAATCACTATGATTCGCCACGCCTCCACCGGCCTACTCTCCCGCTCCATTGCCACCGGAGTCCAACACCGCCACTTCTCCTCTACCGAAGTCCCGGCGGCGGACGAGCTATTCATGATGGCCTGGAAGAGAATAATGCCAAATTTGGACCCGCCCAAGACTCCCTTGTCTTTCGTGCGGCCGCGGCCGTCCTCTATTTCTGCGGCGGACATTGCTTCGAAGCTCACCGTCAACTTGGTTTCTCCATACTCGGAATTCTCGAACAGAGAGGTCAGATTCATGCTTATACTGATACCGTCAATAAACAATTAAACAGCCCCATTTCATTTATTCGGAGAATTTTCCGCTTTCTAATTTGTTGTTCGGTCAGAATATTATCTTATTTGTGTTTGGATTGTTATAGTTGCTCTTACGTTATCTAGGTTTTATTTTGTTACTTGCGGAATATTATTCTATTAAGAATAACCCTGCTCTGTTTGTGTTTACTTTTTCAAGTTTTGTTGAAATTTTCGATTCTTTGTAGGCGATTAATATTAACGAAAATTTTCTTACTTCTTCAAAAAAATTAAAAACAAAAAACTATACTTGGATTGGGTTATTTGCAACTGCATTTCCTAATCATTGGTAACTTTTACACTTGTATCATCGTCTTTTTTCTTACATTTAACTCCTTAACCATCAACTTCCATTTTTTAGCTGTTTGGGCCGCATAATTTGTATAAAAGGAAAATTTCCTCTAGTTTAATCGAGTGAAATATATGTATAGAAGGAAGTGAGAAACAGAAAAGAAAAAAATTACCCCCAACCCCGAAAACAGCCTCCCCACTCAGGCAGCTCGTAGGAAGTGTATGTTAGTGGTTGAAGCTGCCAGGTTCTTGTAATTTTTTTTCACAAGAACTTTGATGTTTAGTTGGATTTCCAGACGTCAAGTCATTGAAGTAACCTTAGCCCAATATGTTTGACGTTACATTGCAAAATAACCAATAAAACACATTGCATTAGAACTATAGTTAGGGTATGTTTGGTAAAAATTCTCATTTTCAACAGTAAATCAATCCTCATTTTCAACCACACATTCTTCAATAAAATAATATTTTCCATCACATCAATAATTTTTTCTTTTTTTTTAAACCACAAATTTCCCATCATATCACTATTCAAAAATCAATTCTTCCCCCAAAAATCCCTACCAAACAAGCTATNATTTCCCATCATATCACTATTCAAAATCAATTCTTCCCCCAAAAAATCCCTACCAAACACACACTTAATAAATTGGACCTTATTGTTCTTATATAAATTATGCCCCATTTTTGGGGGAAAATGTGTGGTTAAAAAATATGGAAAAATTTTGGGATTACGTGTAAAATTATTTTATGGGAGAATGAGTTGATGAAAATGAGTTTTGGGAAAAATGAGGCTCAAACAGTGGCTAAATAATCCTGACAAACAGGACTAATAAAATTTGAAGACACATTATAGCTAACGAATTTCACCTTACAATTTCAGAGAAAATTGTGACAAATTAACAATAGGAGTAACATTAAATTGGGTGTCCCCAAGATGCTTGCTACAAAAGGTGTTTCAAGAAATCTTCTCTGAGAAAATATCTAATAAGTTTTAAACATGTGTGGCAGTATGCAAAACATTACGGAAATAAAATAGGAATACTTCAAAATACGTTAGCATTCAACATGTTTGGAGCATTTTGTGAAACAAACAATTGTTGTTTCAGGTGTTGTCCTTCAGGAATACAAATGTGATCTAGGATTACAAAATACAACATACCAATTTAAGATAGAAAATATAAATATTGTAGTTGATCACAAAGAACAATCACCGGAATGTTGTACAATAATAGTTCACTAACCGGTTACATACTTCTAATGCAGCAGATGCCCTAGCCTACAGCTCAAAAAATATGCCAAACTTCTGTTATAAGTTTACAGTGTCATAATAGCACTGTAGCAATTTCATATAGTGAAATGAGATATATTATATATGCTCTATTGTGGGAAAATGTAAACTGTATATTGATTGAAAATGATACAAGGTGCTATACATTTATATGATTCAGACATTCAGTAAGCACTAATCTAGGTAAATCAAATCGGAGCTAATGTAGGAAAATAATAAATAATAGCCTATCTAAGTCCCTGAAAATTAGGAATTATGTGCTATAATATATAGTCATATAATAAAGCTTTTCCTAATTGTTCAGTATGCACTAATCTAGGTAAATCAAATCGGAGCTAATGTAGGAAAATAATAAATAATAGCCTATCTAAGTCCCTGAAAATTAGGAATTATGTGCTATAATATATAGTCATATAATAAAGCTTTTCCTAATTGTTCAGTATGCACTAATCTAGGTAAATCAAATCGGAGCTAATGTAGGAAAATAATAAATAATAGCCTATCTAAATCCCTGAAAATTAGGAATTATGTGCTATAATATATAGTCATATAATAAAACTTTTCCTAATTGCTTATATCATAGAAATCTCCCAGCACCCTTCAAGCTGGAGAATAAAGATGAATAAAGGTTCTCCATTCCCAGCTTACAAATGATTTTTGGAAGGCTGAGCTTGGTAATTCTTTTGTTAAAATGTCTACAAGCTGATCGCCTGTTCCCATAAAATGTCTACAAGCTTTCGTGGCTTTTCTCCAATTCTCATTACTAAGTGCCTCAGTCAAGGTTTGTGGAATTGGTACAGTATGCAGGTCAATGATGAAAGTTTTATGGAATTGTGACAATTTATCAAAGACATGAAGAATGAAAGTGGGCGTTGGATACATTTCCCAGTGGCCTTTCTAAGAGCATGGATGAGTGAATGTTTCTTTTTCGTATGAAGTGACATGAAAGATTGTTTTATTCCCGGCCTTGATTTTATCCATGCATTGGAATGTCTATAGTAGCTTTCCTCCTTGAGGAAACTTGCAGCAGTGCATTAGCAATAAGTTCCAGGTTTGGTCTTTGAAGGGTGATTGGTTCAGTTTCAGGATTTTTTTTCCATTTTCAGCAGCCTATGTTTTCATATTTGGCAGGAGTTTCAGCTGATGTCTTAGGTGCTTTATCAAGTCTAATGGAAGAGAACAGAAGGTCTGAAAATTCAGTTATAGCGAGTGAAGAAGGATCCTCCTTATCTTCACTAGATAAGTGCTCCCCCTAGGATGAGGAGCTGAAAAATGGTTCTCTTTTTCTACAAAAGTAGCATCCATAGAGACAAAATACCTTTTTGTAGGAGGATAGTAGGATTTGTATCCCTCGTGTAGGTGAATATCTGACAAAGACACACACCTTAAAAGCTATAGGATCCCATTTGCCCTTGTTTTGTGAATGAATAATGTACGAATGACACACCCAAAAGTTTAAGGACTCATGGGAAGCATGATTATCTAGAATTCCATGGGACTTTTCGATCCTAAATGGTACTCAATTTATGATATGGGCTGCATTTAAAATGGCCTCCCCCTAAATGACTTTGGCACATGTTTTGGAATAATAGTGGTCTTGTAACATTGAAAATGTGACCATTTTTCCTTTCGGCTACTCCATTTTTGTTGGGATGTGACAACACTAGATGATTTGTGAACAATTCCTTCCTTTTTAAAGAATGATGAAAATACTTGATTAAAGAACTCTCTCCCATTGTCAGTCCTCAATCTTTTTATACACACCCTGAATTGATTTTTTTACCATGGAATAATAAATGGGGAATACAGTACTCACATCGTTTATTTTTATTTTTGTCTTAAGAAGAAGATCCATGTCACTCGTGTACAATCTTCCATGTAAGAGACAAGCCATCTAGCTCCCGAGACATTGGCAATTCTTGAAGTTCCCCAAATATCACTATGCATCAAGACAAATGGAGAAGGTGTTCTTGTATTAATGGAATTGAAACACATTTATGTTTGGCAAATTCACAAACATCACAATGGAAAATTTAAATCAAGTGACTGAAATAACATAGGAAACATGATCTTAAGATCACTAAATGAAAGGGTGTCCAAGATGGAAATGGTGGAGCAAAACTTGGTCTTTATTGAATAAATTGGTCTCGGTCAAAAAGGATAATGGAGAAGTGTCTTATTGCTAATGCTGCCACTTGCTTCTTCAAGATAGTATAGTCCGTTTCGTTCCTTAGCACACCCAACCTTCCTCTCGTAGCCAGGTCCTGAAACACACAGTAAGTTGGAAAACATGTTATGATACAGTCTATATCATTCCGTAACTCCTTGATTGATACAAGATTAGTATACAATTTTGTCACATGTAGCATATCATTTAAAACTAAGGATGTAGAAAGGCAGATTTTTCCTTGACCTGCAATAGTAACCAATGAACATCTGCAATGGAAATCTTTTATTGCTTGGGCGGGGGCTGTAGGACAAAAAGTGTCACGACGAATTTGTCATATGATCAGTGAATCTTGAGTCAATGACCAATAAACCCAATAGATCTGAGAATAAAATAAATGGAATCTATTAGGCTAACTATGTGCTCATGGAAAGATAAGAAGTTGATGCATTAAGATATGGAAAATGCTGACCTTTAGAGTTAAGTATGGGTTGATTCTGGAATTAAAGGTTGAGGTGAAAGGGTTCGAGAGAAGTGAAAGTGATTAGAAACTTATGGCTTTTATTGGTGAAGATGGGCAACATTTTGATCTACTTTGAAATTGAGACTGTGTCCAGGGATTGATGCTTTCCTGTTTATTCAAATTGCAGTGAGATTACTACATTACTTTTGCTTAAATTAACATGTAGTTGATACTCATATGATTTCCCAAATATCAAGTTCAGTTGTTTTGATCATAATTGATAATACACAAGCAGTTTGTGGTTTATTCACGTGTCTTGTGATGTAGTAGTGGTGTACTTTATGTATAAAGTGGGAATTTGCAGCCGCCTTCTCATTTGAGATTATGCTTTTTACTGGGGTTCTTACCGCACATGAAACAGTGCAATTATTTCTTTCCAAAAACTAATCATTAGTAACAAATATACCTGTGCTTCAAGGTTATGATTGTGTGAACTTGTTGCACAGTTGAAAGAAAGTGGGAAGGATCTCAAAAATCATGTTCTCTCCTTTTCAATTAGAACAACTACACTAAGTGGATATAGTGGAAGTTTTAAAGCTCCTTTTTCTTCGACGAAGACATGATGTTTGTTCATTTCTTTTTTCTTTTCTTTTTGTGAGGGTGCACGCAAGAATATCTTCTTCAGACTGCATTTGCTTTGACTTCTTCTTATTGTTATATTCTTTGAACTTGTCGACCTTAGGGGACGTCTGCTATTTCCTGTCTCATGTTTACAATGTTGTTATTTAAGGTTGACATGGTTGTAGTACCTGCGACAACAGGACAGATGGGTATTCTTCCTGGACATATGGCATCAATCTCAGAGCTAAAACCCGGTGTCCTGTCCATTCATGATGGGGATGATGTAAAAAAGTACTTCATTAGCAGTGGTTTTGCATTTATCCATTCAAATTCCGTAGCTGATATAATGGCCACCGAGGCAGTGCCAATTGAGCAAGTTGACCCTGCCTCTGTACAGAAATGGCTCGTCGAGTTCACTCAGAAGTTAAGCTCAGCCTCAACAGATTTGGAGAAGGCTGAAGCCCAAATTGGAGTGGACGTGCTGGTTGCTTTAAATTCTGCTCTCTAAGGATAATACAATCTCCCTTTTTGTATCATGTCGCAAATTAAATGGACAGCAACAATTTGATATGATGAATTGAACATAAATAAATGATATTTAAAAAAAGTAGGTAAATGAGATACTTGTCCACCATAAGTCTTAAAAGGTGGCGACAATTTGATATAAAGGATTGAAGATAATTAGACCATAGTAAGAAAGAGAGGCTAATGAGATATTTGTCCATTACCCACTACCCCTTTTCATGGAGATTAATTCTAATTGTAAATAGAAAAAAGACAAATTGAAGGAGATATTTCTCTTTTTTTTATCATTTTCTTTTGTCTACAGAAGTAGATTCTTTTTTGTCTCAATTCATTTATTTATATTTTAAAAGAGGTATGAAAGTTATTTTTTAAATTAAAAAAAACAGTGACGTCATTGATTTGACAAAGTGCCCATGAAATTTCCACCTACTTTATTTGCTTTTCACAGGAACTGATCAGATCCTTTGAATCTGTCCAATTTGTCGTCTTTTACACTTTCTCAGTTTGGCATTCATTTTTCTCTCCTTAAATTTTAATCAAACATTAATTATAATTATATGTTTAAATTTATTTATTTTTCTTTTTTAAAATATAAATTTTTTATAATAAAAAATAAAACTTAAAAAACGGGTGATAAAAATTTTACTAGTGATTTCATGTGTGGGTGAGAAAAACTACTCGCTCACAACTTTTATTTAATTTTAAAAATTGGTAAGAAAAATCACCATTCGAGACGGAACAAAGCGATACAAGAACAATCCATAAATTTTTTAATTTTTTTTTCGTTTATTCTCTTTTCTCACCTTTCTTTCTTCATATTTTCGCTCTTTCCCGGTTTTGTTATTTTTCTTCCATTCCTCTTCTAGTAAGCCTATGTTTACAATCATTACTTCAAATTTCTTTTTTCTATATATTTATTTTTAATCACATATTCATACAATAAAATATTTTGCACGTAAATTCAAAACTTTTTTCAACTTTTTTAATACACATTCTCTAAAAAAATCACTATTCAAAACTTCATTTTTACTCAAATAATGGTTGTCAAACAGGAGCTTAATTGAAAATATCTTCTGCTTCTTCATTTTCTTTTTTAAAAAAAATAATAATTTGAATGAATAAACAATAAAACCACACATTTAAGATGACACGATCATGCTTAATTAGAGTCTATAAAGCTATCAAATGGGCACATAATAACATGCTTGGGACCCATTTCCCATCCCTAAAAGTTTGCAGTTGTATAAGTTGAATTTGACAAGACTTTTACTTTTTGTAAAAGAGCTTTCTGAAGAAACTTCTGTAAATTAAATTTTTTTTTTCCTAGTCAAATAAAGTACTTTCAAAAAATTATTAAAATAGATTAAAAAATATTTTTTTAGTTTGGAAAATAACTTATAATTTTTCGAAGTATTTTAGTTTAACACATGTATAATAAAAAGGAGAAACATCAATGATTATAATTACACAAATGGGATAGTGAAAAATAAGAAAATGACTTTCACTTTTTCTGTATTCTAAATTAAAGTAATTTAGTTGGGACACTCTAGCAGTCACCATTCATCATAATACACCGTTCCAAAACATTCCTACGTGTGATTAAGTCCTTGTTTGAGCCACGTTATTTTTTTCATTATCATTTTTCTACTCATTTTCAACCACATATTCTTTATTCTCAAAATGTGCACCAAACAGGGTCTAAGACTTGTTTGGCAAGAGAAAATGAAAAAAATGATAGACGATCCACTTATCGAGATTTTCAGCCTAAAATTATGGACGACTATAATTCTAATCTTGATATTTTATTGGTTAAGAATAATAGACTTTGTTGTCTTTTGAATACAATTTGATTTGCAATTAATGAAATACAAGTGATTAGAGACCTTGATTTCGAATCAAATACCAATGTTCTTAAAAGTTTATTGATATATGGCTCAAAAAAAAAAAAATTGGCCAATAAATAAGTTTAAATAATTATTTAATTGAGCATATAAAAAGGTCAAAACTATTGGTTTGGACAAACGGTGCCTAAATCCGAGAATAAAAATGGTCACAAGGGTTGAGGTGCTACATTTCTCCATTAAATCCTGTCCGTCGATCTCATTGACCATCGCAGATTGTGACATCTCCCACAACGTAGAGCGAGAAAAGCCCACAGTTGGCTTTTGTTCACTAAATGCCACGTAGCATTTAGGGGCAATTATTGGGTGCAATCACGAGGCCCCTCGTGAAACGGGCAGTTTATTTTTATATAATAAAAGAAAGAGAAAGTTTGAAATATTTTATTAGTTGCCCAAGATTCGCGGTCAGGGGTTTCGGGCAAGGGAGACACTTGTCTTGGGATCAGAGCCCGCATGTACATACTGGTCCCTCAAGCGGGCCCTACAACTACATGGTTCAATTTAGTCCCTTTGTTTGTTTGTTTTTTTTTTCATATTAAAATGTCGTTTTGTACAGTGAATATTTGCGGAATATATGACCAAAAATTAAAGAAATTTTTTTAAATTTATGAGTAGAATATTTTATTGTGTGAATATCTGATTAAAAATGAGTGTGTAAAAAAAGAGTTTTGAAAAAACGAGAAATAAACAAGGAGCTTATATTTTGTTGTGGGACCCAATTTTTATTAAATCTACTAAAATTAATTTTTACCTAAACTGAACAAAGATTTAATCGATTAATTTGATCAAGAAATTGTTGAGGTAAATCGAAAATGGATTAAACATTGAAATTATAATTAATATATAAGCTAAACTTTACGTCGTCCTTGTTTGGTAGGTGCTTAATTTATAAATTTTTTTTATTATTTTACTTTTTATCTACATTTTCGTAGAATCCACATGTATTTTCTATATACCTTTCATTTTCATCTATTTATAATTTAAACAATTTATAAACACCTAACGTTTTTTTCTTGAATTTCACCAATTTTCACTAAACGAGGCTTGAACCCAGATCAGCGAGACTTCGCTTACAAAGTGCCCATGAAATTTCCACCCACTTTATTTGCTTTTCACAGAAACTGATCAGATCCTTTGAATCTGTCCAATTTGTCGTCTTTTACACTTTCTCAGTTTGGCATTCATTTTTGGATTTTGCTGGATGTCCCGGCTTAATGACCGGGACATTTGACAGGACGTCGAGGTGGCGCCCTGTTATTGGAGAGGGGGCTGACTTCGGTCAACCCCCCTCCAATTGTATGGTGCCACCTCGGCACCTGTATTTTGGCCCGGTCATTGAGCCGGGCCATGAAGCAGAGTTCTTCATTTTTCTCTCCTTAAATTTTAATCAAACATTAATTATAATTATATATTTAAATTTATTTATTTATTTTTCTTTTTTAAAATATAAAATTTTTATAATAAAAAATAAAACTTAAAAAACGGGTGATAAAAATGTTACAAATGATTTCACGTTGGTGAGAAAAACTACTCGCTCACAAATTTTATTTAATTTTCAAAATTGGTAAGAAAAATCACCATTCGAGACGGAACACAGCGATACAAGAACAATTCCATAAATTTTTTAATTTTTTTTTTCCTTCATTCTCTTTTCTCACCTTTCTTTCTTCATATTTTCGTTCTTTCCGGGGTTTGTTATTTTTCTTCCGTTCCTCTTCTAGTAAGCCTCTGTTTACGATCATTACTTCAAATTTCCTTTTTTCTATATACTTATTTTTAATCACATATTCATACAATAAAATATTTTGCACGTAAATTTAAAACTTTTTTCAACTTTTTTAATACACATTCTCTAAAAAAATCACTATTCAAAACTTCATTTTTACTCAAATAATGGTTGTCAAACAGGAGCTTAATTGAAAATATCTTCTGCTTCTTCTTTTTAAAAATAAAAATAATAATAATAATAATAATTTGAATGAATAAACAATAAAACCACACATTTAAGATGACACTTTCATTCTTAATTAGAGGAAAAATGCTATTCATCTTCAGTGGGGATGCATCATCAATTTATGTGGATGTAAATGATTGGTTAAATGAAATGTGAAATTAGATGACTTATTTAATTTCACATATCATTTAATGCCACATTAACGCTATATAGACTAGGAATGTATCCCCAATGTGGATGAATAGCATTTTTATAAAGCTATCAAATGGGCACATAATAACATGCTTGGGACCCATTTCCCATCCCTAAAAGTTTGCAGTTGTGTAGGTTCAATTTGACAAGCCTTCTACTTTTCGCAAAAGAGCTTTCTGAATAAACTTCTGTAAGTTAACTTTTTTTTTCTAAAATTTTTTTCTAGTCAAATAAAGTACTTTAAAAAAATTATTAAAATAGATTAAAAATAATTTTTTAGTTTCGAAAATAACTTACTCCCTCCGTCCCAATTATATAGGCTTGTTTGATTTTTCACACGGATTAAGAAAACTTATTTAATGTCATTGGAAAATTAATTTTTGCCAAGATCTTTCCTAGTTTACCCCTATTTAATTTTCAGTGGGTAAAACTAAATTATTGTTGGATTCATAAAGAATTTGAATTTTCAAGAAGTTCGCATATTAAGTGGGGAAAATTTAATAAGGGTATATTAGTAAAAGAACACAATAAAATATTCTACATTAGGAAACAAGCCTATATATTTGGGACAAGAGAAAAAGGAAACCCAGCCTATATAATTGGGACGGAGGGAGTATAATTTTTCGAAGTATTTTAGTTTAACACGTGTATATTAAAAAGGAGAAACATCAATGATTATAGTTACACAAATGGGATAGTTAAAAATAAGAAAATGACTTTCACTTTTTCTATATTCTAAATTAAAGTAATTTAGTTGGGACACTCTTGCAGTCAACATTCATCATAATACACCGTTCCAAAACATTCCTACGTGTGATTAAGTTTTCGTTTGTGCCACATTATTTTTTTCATTATCATTATTTTACTTATTTTTAACCACATATTCTTTACTCTCAAATGTGCACCAAACAGGGTCTAAGACTTGTTTGGCAAGAG